GCAAGAAGTCCCTACTCAGGAGTTGGGTTCTTTTCTAAACAATGCTGAGGAGATTGTGTTAATGACAATATAAACAGGCTGAAGCAGGGGTTTGGCCTTAACTAAAATACATTGGACTGTGGGAGAGAATGCAGATGTCCAATGAATGAATATGAGTAGAGGAAGCACGGAGTTGAAACTTGAAAAATCAAATGAGATGCATGTTTCTGTGCACATTGCACGGAATCATCCACTAGCACCGATGTTAGGGTCGGGAATTTATCACTATGGCTCTCCCATGTGAAGTTATGCATTTCCTCAAGGGAAGGCAAGGCAAGGCAAGTTCTGACATACTCATTTGAGCACATCCGTGGTAAATAGAGAGTGGGGCAGGGGCATCCAAGTTTCAAACATGGTAGTTTTCTGTTGTGCTGTCTCCAATGCTAAACATTCAAGCAGTTCCTAGAAATTGTCGAGCATGCATCTTCTAGGTCATCAAAGAAGTTTGTTTGATGGAAAATATTTTACAGGTAGGCAGGCGTATTGAACCAATCTTCTGATCTTGGTATCCATATTCCCAATATCCGGAGCAGATCCTTTTAAGCAGAAGTGGAAAAAGCCCATCAAATTAGGTTAAAATACTAATTTGGTCCCTCGACTTTTAGATTTGTATCAAAATTGTCTTTTAACTTCAAAGTGCTAAAATAATTCCCAAAATTGAATTTTTTGTACCAAGATAGTCCTTGAACTTTGAAAATAACTACTAACTTAGTCTTTAAACTTTGAAAATAAGTACAAATTTAATTCTTAAATTTTGATTATAAATATCAATTTAGTTTTTTAATTTTAATTATATCTTAATTTGATGTGTAAATGAAAATATATCATGACATCAAAATATGATTATTTAATTTTATATATTATTAGTATTTTTTAAAAATTTGATTTTATGACAAGATAGCGAATCACCTGACAAAAACTATTTTAATATAAAAAATTAAAGTTTAAAAATTATTTTAATATAAATATAAAAAATTAAAGAACTAAATTAATATTTTAACCATCAAATTACTACCAAATTATTCAATGTGGATAGCGGAGAACGCTAATGTATTTGAAGATGACCCCCTTTTTGGTTCCTTCAAAATTTTCTATTATTTTGGTGAATAGTTTTTCTTTGGGAGGAAAAATTAATTTAAAGTTTAAAAAATGGAATTTTTGAATTCCCTCATCCCCTTCCAATTGTCCATATGCAACAGAGAAATAAAGGAAAGGGTGGGAAAGGGAATGCCTGGACCAGCCTGTATAATTACTGCAGAATTGGCACAACTAGGCTGCAAGTCTGCAACCAATGGTCCCCAATCAGCCATAGTGTCTAGTGCACCGAATTAGTTACCCTCACTTGTGACTTCTTCACACGTTAGATATTTTTACATTTAATAAAATTTCATAAATTATTAAATTAATTATGTCGTTGTTTTAGATTATCGACCCTAAACATCACGTCCTCATCAATTTGAACTTTTTTGTTTGTAGTATTTGAACGATGGATTATATAATAAAGAGAATGTCTTTCATTTTGTTTTGCTTTTACAATAATTAGTCTGGGGTGAAAATAAATAAATATATTATTCATAATTTTTATTTATTAATTTATTAAAAATATCTATTTTGATGTTTTTTAATATCAAAATAATATTTTTGACTATGAGGGACAATAAAAAAATATTTGTAATTGCATAATAGAAATGTTTTTTTTTTTAAAGTTGTATGGTTCTCTCTTATGTAAGAATTACAGGTCATGTGCCATAATCAAAGTTACTAGTGACGGAAAGTTATAGGAGAAGAAGCACATAAATTGACAAGTAAAAGAATGGACGGCCCAAAAAGTATTAAAAAAAAAAAGGATAAGTAAAAGAATGTCAAAGATTCCCACGTGGCATGTACTCTGTGGGTCTTGTTCCTAATCCTTACACGTCAAACTGATTTGGAGTTAGATTTTTTTCTTTTTTGTTGTTTTT